AGATCACTGTATCATCCGCATATTGTAAGATAGATAAGCCACCTTGAATAAGATGAGGGATGACTCCGTCAATTTATCATGCTTCCTTGGCTCTAGCAATTAGTATAGCCAGCATGTCCGCCACTATGTTAAATAGTATTGGCGACATCGGATCACCTTGCCTTAAACCTTTTTTAGTTTGGAAGTAAGAACCCATTTGGTCATTTACCTTAATATTAACATTACCTCCCTGTGTGAACTGCTGCACCCATGAGCACCATTTACCACAAAAACCTTTCATCCTTAAAGTTTGCTGTAAAAAATTCCATTTTACTTTGTCATAAGCTTTTTCAAAGTCAATTTTGAATATTATCCCATCCTGTTTTTTAGAGTGTAATTCATGAATTGTCTCATGAAGAATTACTGCTCCTTCCATAATATTTCTTCCCAGGGGAAAAGCGGTTTGAGTTGGACTAATAATCTTCTGGGCGATGGATAGTTAATCTATTGGTTGCCACTTTGGTAAAAATCTTGAAGGAAACATTTAACAAACATATGGGTCTGTATTGTTGAATGACCTTCGCATCTTTCTTTTTTGGTAATAAAATTATATTACCAAAGTTAAGGCTGTGTAGAGGCAAACTCCCAGCATGAAATTCCATGAACAGAGCCATGAGATCATCTTTTAATAGATCCCAGAAGACCTGATAAAACTCTGATGGGAATCCATCTGGTCCTGGCGCCTTATTATGTTCCATCTGAAACACCGTAGATCTGACTTTAGATTCAGAGAACTCCTCTATCAGATACTCATTTTCCAGATTAGATACCTGTGGAATATCTTGAACAAGGTGCTCATCTAATTCCACATTAGATCTATCCGGAGGACCAAAAAGATTTTTATAATAGCTGGTAATATGCTGCTTCAGCTGAGCATCACCCTCTATTATAGTATCTTCATTCTCCAGCTGGAAAATCCGAGTTTTCCGGTGTCTACCATTCGCCAACAAATGAAAATATTTAGTATTGGCATCACCTTAAATAAGATGCTTTACTTTGGCTCTTTGGTACCACTTAAGTTCCTCCTCTCTAAGCAATTCAGCAAGTCTCTCATTTAAAACATATTTAAGATTTAATTCTGTTCCATCAAGAATAACGTTTTTCGCCTTTTTATCTAACTCATTTAATTTATCTAGAAGCTCTTTTTTCTCTTTCTTATAAGCACCACTTACATTCTTCGCCCACCCTCTGAGATGTTGACGCAGCCTCCTAATCTTTGCTTGCCACCTCTCAAGGGGACTACCTTCGACCTCCACATTGAGCCAAACAGCTCGCACCATATCACAAAACCCTTCTCTAAGCAACCACCCCAATTCAAATTTGAATTGTTGTTGGTAAGTCAGAGAAGAAGTATTTGTGTTGCATAACAGTGGAGTATGATCTGAAATCTCTCTGCTCAAAGCGTGAACAGTTGTAAGTGGATACTTGGCTTCAAAGTCTGTACAAACTAAAATTCTATCCAACTTTTCAAAAGTTTGATTTTGCAAATTATTTGCCCAGGTGAACTTTCTCCCTGTCAGCTCTAACTCTCTTAAATTTAGAGTATCGATAACCACATTGAAAAGAAAAGGCCATCTATCACTGTAATTACTATTATTCTTCTTAGTTGGGCTACGAATAATATTGAAGTCACCACCCATTATAATAGGTACGGTCTCCTTCGAACATACTCTAACCAATTCTGATAAGAATTGTGATTTGAACTCCTACTGTGCTGGGCCATAAACTAAAAATAAATTAAATTTAAAATCATCTTCTTTATGGCGTAATTTAAATATAATAAAAAAGTTGCCCTCTTCTATCTGACCAATATCAAAAATTTGAGGATTTATCTCAAGAATCATGTCACCAGATCTACCTCTCGGAGCCATGCAATGCCAAAGAAAATCTCTACCAGCGCAAAAATTATTCAATGTTGTTTGCGAGAAACTGGCCCTCCCAGTCTCTGATAAAGCAATAAAATCTAAATCATTTTTTTTGTCAAGTCAGATAGAAATCTGTATTTCTTTAAATCTGCGAACCCGTTACAATTCCAAAAAATTCCTTTCATCTTGAACAATTTTTATTTTTTTATTGTTTCCCTTTGGTTTAACCTTCTTAGATCGTGATACAGGGGTCTGCAGACACAAAGGGTCGCAGCCCACATCACAAAGATCTTCAGCAATATCAGCACAAATTAAATTTAGCATCTCTAAGTCCACGGTTTCTTCAACATAGCAAACAGTAGAAGTATCATCAATGACATCATTCTGAATATTTAACACATTACTCTAAGTTATTCTACTGGATTCAAGATCTTTTAAATTTTTAATTGATTCTGAAATTTCCTGTGCATTGGACCCAAAAGAAACACCTAATATACTAGCTGACTGCAACATAATAGAATCATCAAAAGAATCAAAAGACTGGGTTTGAATTTCTTTACCTTTGAGTGAAGAGTTTTCTAGATTTTTCTGCGCTTTTAATTTCGAAGCTTTCTCCAAAGAATCTTGCTCCGATGTAGACGCGTTCCTCTTGCTAGATCTCACTGGTGACACTGTCCCACTACCCATACTAGTTTTCCACTGTGCAGAGCCATCTGGAGTAATTCCAGTCTGGGAGAGCAACACCATAGGCTTAACTGAATTTTCCTTGATCACCACTAAGTCCTCCTGGACAGCGGTTGCCTCTGTACTAATATCAGCCATTAGCGCAGCCAGCTGCTCAGTAGGCGCACCTGCGGCAGTGTTATTCCCCTGCTGTCCGCTCGGTGGCACTGATGCATTAGACTATTTCTTAGGTACTTGTCCCTCTAGTTCCTGTTTCTTTTTGTCAGCATCATGATCCATATCCTCCGGATCCCCTTCTGGATCTTCATCCTCGTCCGTGGTAGAGTCCATGTCTATGACCTGGGGCTCACCATGAGACATGTCTTTCTCCACTCTGAATTGTAGCTCATAAACAAAATCCTCAATGGCAACATCCACTAGATTTGGGATAATATCAGGATTCAGCACTGCTACTTTCATTCTGGTCCTTTCATATTTTTTTGTGAATTTCATATCCACCGCACGAGGAACTCCCAAAATTGTGCCAATTGCCCAAATAATAGGGAACTCTCCAAATTCTTTTGGAAGGCCCCTAAATTGCACCCACACTTTATCAATTTCATATTTATATACCTCATTTTCAACCCCCTTCTCGAACCGGATCTTTCCTTTCACGGTCTTAGTATCCATTGGGCCCCAGTTCACCATGTGGTTAAGCACTTCAGATGTGGGAAAATTAATGATAAAGGCATCAATACCCTTTTCAGAAATCACTAGCTGAAGATGCAATTACATTTCATACGTTGGTGTAGAAGCCATTATAACCTGTGTTTGCATTCGGTCAATGTATGCTCCGATTTCTTGATAAGTGAACCTGGGTTTTCATTGGATGTCATCTCAGCTTCTGCTTGCTTGTGTTTCAACCTATCATACATTGAGCGTGCATGCTATTCTTTTACATCGTAGCTATGATGTAAGTTCTGAAATGATAGGACTAGGACAAACAGGAAAGCGTTTAAATGGAACGAGATGACAACTCCTTTTTGAGTGGTCATGCTTCCTGCAATGCTTAGATCTGCTTTGATATATCAAATTTCCTGTGCTGATTCAACTCATCCTTCCCTGGATCAATAAACTACTTGATGCATCTTTTACAACTATCTTGTGAGACTCTTTGATAGTTCTTTCTCTAGAAAAAGATCAGTGCTAATTTGGATAGTCTGAAACAAAAAGGTTGACCACCAATCAAATAGCGTTACCATGCCCAACCAAACAGTTCAAGTAATCACTGATACCACTGCTACTTCCCCCACGATTCATTTCCAAAACATTTACGTTACCAGTGAGAGAACCAAACACTAGGTTAATTCAGTCATGCATCTGTGCTGGAGATTTTAATCCCCGAGTTCATGATGATTTGTGGCAATTAAACATAACTACATCACCCAAATATATACTCCCTCCATTCTAAATTATAAGTTGTTCTGGCTTTTCTACGTATATATGTAGAAAATTTTTACGATGGTTGTCATAAAATGGACGGCTCACGAGGACCGATTTGACGGCTAAAAAAGCAAAGGAACCAAGAGGAACCAATTTAAGAGGTACCGGGAGGAACCAAGTGCGTACTAAATGGTGGGACCATACGCACCGGGTGCATACAAAAAATAATCGGATCAGCACATGAAAAAAGTGGGAAATTTTCTATTTTTGAAATTATTTTACGTAATTGAGAGTAGAACAGTAAATCAATGGTAGAAAATTAATGTTTAGAGTAGTAGGGATGATTGAAGTACTACAGTCTTTTCACGTATAATTCTCTTCGGACCAACGCAGGCCGGCCCCTCTCTCTCAGTCGCTCTGTTCTTTCTCTATGTGTGCTGCGGCGGCGGGCGGGGTGAGGACGAGGGCGGTGGCTGCTGGGCGGCGAAAAGTGCGAGGGCAGGGCTGCGGCTTCTGTGGCATGCCATCCCTCCTCACCATCCTCGGCGAAGCGGCGGCAGCAGTAGCTCTGGCGATGGCGGTGGAGGCGAGATCCGGGCCCGGCGGCGTCAAGGCCCCTTCGCGGCGGCGGTGGTCGTCGCCATTGGCGGGAGGGTGTGGGCGGCGAGTGCGCTTCATGGCGCAGGGCGGTCCGGGCAGCAGCCATGGCGGGAATCGACACCGTGGAGGAGGATGAGGAGGGTTGCTGGGCTCCTACACCGGCACCGCGTAGATCCGGCGATGGCGATGGAGGAGATAAGATCCGGGCCCGGCGGCGTCCGCGCTCCCCTTCGCGGCGGCGGTGGCCGTCCCCGCTGGCGGGAGGGTGCGGGCGGTGAGGTGCGCTCGCGGACGCGGCGGTCCAAGCAGCAGCCATGGTGGGGATCGACACCGTGGAGGAGGACGAGGAGGGTTGCCGGGCTCCTACACCGGCACCGCGTAGATCCGGCGATGGCGGTGGAGGAGGTGAGATCCAGGCCCGGCGGCGTAGGGTTTCGCTCGCGCCCCACTCAGGTAACCTCAAGCGCCGTCTTCAATCCCAATTGCACCCGAAGCTACAAGTCTCTCATCTTCATTTCGTGTCTAATTCGATTTGGTTTCTTCGAATGCGTTCGTTTGATCTCAGCTTCATTTTGTGTCTAATTCGATTTGGTTTCTTCGATTGTGTTCGTTTCAGGTCAGCGGAGCTAGCACGAGACCGGCCATGGCACCGACGCAGGCCAAGTCAGGTCTCTTCGTTGGCATAAACAAGGGACACGTCGTCACCAAGCGAGAGCTGCCGCTTCGCCCATCCGATCGCAAGGGGGTAAGAATATCCGTTCCGAAGCCTCCGATCTCATAATACTGCTTTGCGATCTCAATTGCATGTGTAATCCAGCCTAAAGGAGCAAAATCCTGCTATTTTGTAACGTGCTTCTTGTATATATCTTAGTTGAATTGCAGGTTATGAATTTATGATTTGTGTATTGGACATAAAAGAACGTTGACTGTTTTGTGCAATAATTTTATTTTTGACTTGGTAAGAGATTGGCATTTTGGTATGGTGGATTCTGCTGGATTACATACTCTAGTGGACGACTTGCTTGGTTTTGCATATTTGAACTGCAATGTTACTTTTGGTGTATAATTAATGTTAGATAATTGAGGTTTGATGATTGAATAATCCGAATTGTTAGGTCAAACAGACCTCTTGCTTTTGGACGAAAAAACTATGAGTGTAGAAACATTTGTACATTGAATAGTCTTTTTTTTAAACAGTTTTGTTGTGTTTCTTGCCTCATCTCACCTTTGGCAATCTGGAGATTTTCCAATACTCCAAATTGCTAGTCCTGGAGGCAGATATTAATTGGTGAGACATAACGTGGAAACTTAGTCACATTGTGATTTTGTTTCTAAAACTTCTCACTAAATGCACCTTTTTAGCACATGATTCCTAAGCAGAAGTTTTACCTAATTTACATTATGACTGGTTTGGGTTGTAAAATTGAGGCATAATGTGAGTTTGCCGCTAAATGATCTGAATTGGTCAGTCTACTAAGCTAGGTGTGGTGCTTTGGGAATGGCAAAACTATAGTTTTAAAACATTTGTGGAAATGATACCAGGATCATTACTGTAACTAATAAGCAGCCCCAAAGTTCATGTTGATCATCATGTCTCATCTCATCTTTGGCAATCAGAGGATTTCATTACTTCATGTCGCTAGTTCTAGAGGCAAATATTTATTGGCGAGACATGACATATAAGCTAAGTCACATTTTGATTTTGTTTCTAAAACATCTCGCTAAATGCAACTTCCTGAATCAGTTGATGGAATTTTGACACGATGCTATCTTAGTTTTTCTTAATGTTTTCTAGTTGTTAATGACTTCTTATTTTTATTTTTTAGCATCATGGTCTTATATCTTTGTCATGGCCCTTTTATTTCAGAAAGCTACCAAGAGGGTGACATTCGTCAGAAGCTTGATTAGGGAGGTTGCTGGTTTTGCTCCCTATGAGAAACGCATCACTGAGCTTCTCAAAGTTGGGAAGGACAAGCGTGCACTCAAGTTGGCTAAGAGGAAGCTTGGTACTCACAAGAGAGAAAAGAAGAAGAGAGAGGAGATGGCGAATGTTGTTAGGAAGATGAGGTGACCTTCTCTTTCCTATTTTATACTGTGCTTACTATTTCATTCTATTTCATCATGATGCAGTTTACTATGCAAGTGCGAACTTCTTTGTATTGTGTCATGAGTCTGCAATGAATCTTTTGGCACATCTTGGTAGCAGACCTCTTAAATTCATGGTTGAATGTATCATATGATCTGTGGGCAATACGATAGTAGATTGGTACCATGTTAGGGCAAGCTGGCTCATAACTGACTGATTGTGTGTTCTTTTTCTTTCATTAGCAGTTGTCTGCCAATGATTGTCATACTGTAGCCTATAGAGCCTAAACACATTGCTGTGCATACAATGGTTAGCTTCCGAGACCGCATACAACTGAAATAACGTACTAGCGGTAGCTACAGTTCCTCCATCTAGGCTGGCCTGATTAAAAGTATGTCATCGAAGACCAGCATTGTCTTCAGTCCACCTCGCCATCAGTGGTTGTTGGATTGTCTCGTAATTGATCTCGTACTTGGTGTACGCAATGACGCGCTCCTAGTACCAAAACTATTAACACAATGCAAAAAATACATAAGACCAAAAGTAAACATTGTTTATAGGTGGTTGTAGCGTATAGAACTGACCTGCAGCAAAGTCAAATTGCCCTGTATGTTGGCTAATTTCTTAACTATGTAATTATTACATGAGGTTAATAAATGGGTCAGAGTGAATTGGCCCCAACTGAAATTCTTCATCTTCATTAGCAAACAACTTCTTGACAATTTCATTGTACTCTAGCAAAGACTCAAGATCTGACATTTCCTTCTGTATAGATGCTTGTATATTATGCAACAGGGAACAGTAAATTCCAACAAGAAAAGAGATGTGCAAAAACAGTTTTCTTCCAAAGAAGTTTGGCATAACAACGTCTAAGCTAGCAATATTATATTTGATGATGATGGTAGTATGAGTCTATCTTCTTGTTTGCTTCTTTGAGCAAGTAGATTTTTTTTAGAAGCAAGTAGGTAGAAGTTGATATGGTTTTGCAGTATTATATTGGACAGTAGAAGTAGGCTGATCAGCTTAGTCTAGGGCCTCAAAATTTAAAAGGGAAAACAATAACATAAGTGCATAATACAAAACCATTGAACTTGTAAATATAGCCACACTATCAATGTAGCACTAAGTATTGAACACAATTTTGAAAGGCAAAAAATCAATAATTTAAATGTGGAAAAACAAAGAGCTTAAGTGGGCAGCTACAATCAGTTTGTGGACTGGGAGGTTAATTATACGTAGATACTCACAATAAGTATGCAGATTATATGTAGACTGATGGCGATAGAACTCTAAAAACACAAGCAGTCAGTCCATCCAATCTCGTAGCTAATCCAAATAGGAAAATCAAAGAAAATGGTATCAGTTTAAATATTTATGTCACTTTTGAGTGTGATCATGCTGTAATAGTCCTGAAAAGAATTTTTGTGATATAATATTGGAAGGACTATTATGTTGATCCAACATAAACGTTTTTTTTGGAACAAGAAATTTCAATGGCCTATGAAGACACTATATATAGTTCACAGGAAATACTGGCAGGTATGAGCTGTGCTGTGTGACTTCATATGCCAAATAAATAGTAGGAACTGAAGATTTACAATTAAAAAGTTGATTTTAAAATTGTTTGAGTATGAAGTATCCAGCATGAGCACCAACCGATTGAAAGGATGATGGTGTGTGCCAATCTGGCTGCTGTTTAGTAGAAGAGAAATAGGAGGAAGGTCCATATATTAATTGGGACACGTAGGTTATCAGAGCTAAAGTTCAAATTGGTGCATACCTCAGTTACTGGGATTACAAAGAGCACCTCCCATGAACCTACAACAAAATAGAGAATAGTGAGGCCACAATCTAAAACTATTTCCCCATAAGAAATAGTAGTATAAAGCAATATAAGAGAGTGTGAGACAACCATGTACTAAAACAAAGGATGGAATGAGATTTTGAGAAGCATTACTTCTTACTTTATAAGGTGGGTATTCGGTCGTGAATAGCGAGAACTAAAAATAAAATTGGAATCCAAGAATGCAGGTTGCCAAGGTGGCACTCGTACAAAACAGCTAACTAATATGATCGGAGTAGGTTACTAAAGTGTAGACCAGATCGTTTGGGACTTCACTAACATATTGAATAAAATATCTAACACAAGGCAAATCGATCCGGTCAATTTCGATTTGGCACTTTTGGGACCCCACTAACACATTGAGTAAACTATCTAACACAAGGCAAACCGATCTGGCCAATTTCGATCTGGCAACACAGCAACCTATGAGGAACACCAAGTGGCTACCCAAATCAAAATTGCACTGCCTGGATCTGAGTATTGCTTGTGCGTCAATATTTGCTTTGCTACATGGATTCATGGTAACGGCAAGATTACAAATATAAGACATGGATTCAGCACTAGACAATAGACAGGAGCCCAAAAGATGCAAGCATAATACAGAAGCATTCGATCACGAGGCGACCACGACACGTGCTAGGGTGAATGAGGAGCAACGGATGCGCGCACCTTCAAATCGATCGCGTCCGGTGAGAGCACGATCGAGCCGAGCGGGCCGGCGACGACGAGGTTCGGCCGAACTGAACCGAGGCGGAGCGCGACAGGGGAGTGCTCGGATCGATCCCGGACGACGCCATGCTAATCGATGGCGTCCCCGAAGCAATGGTGAGGGCGAGGTGGCGGCGGCTAGGTCTTGTGCGTAGCCTCGCGTCCTTGGCGGCGGCGGCGGCGTACAGCGAGAGGAAGTCGTGCTCGTGCGTCGCCGCCTTGTAGTCGTGGAGCAGGAGAGGAGCGTCCTTGGCGGCGGCGGTGCGCGTGGGCGAGGGGTGCCGAGGGGAGGAGGGAGGAGCGACCGGTGGTGGCGAGGGCATGCCGATGGTGGCGGCGCCGCGCGATGGCGAGGTTGAGGGCGAGGCAGCCGCGGCTAAGGCCGAGGGCAGGGAAGCCTCGCGTCCACGGAACTGCTTGCGTCCTTTGGGTGCGCGTGGGCGAGGCGTGCGGGTTCGGTCGCGCATGGGGGAGGGGTAGCGGGGGGAGGGGAGCCACAATTACCGTATTAACCTTCCACTCATAAAATTAATTAGCGCTAATTAATTGCTTAGGAACTAAGAGGAATCAAGAAGTACCCTCAACCACTGTAAAAGGGCTCATATATGTATATAAAAAGTTAGAGCGACTTGTAATTTGGAATGGATGGAGTAATATATTGACATACATAATCACTATAAGCAATCTCCGATGAAATATAGTCCGTGAAAGTGTGGTAAAATACCTTTTGGTTTGTGAAATTTAGACAATATATTTGGATGTATAGTTACATTATATGCGGCATCTAGTCCACCGCTCTAAAAAAATGTCTACACTCAACAATTTAAAAGCCCTATTGCAACATTTCAGAAGGTCTATCCCAACAAAACTTCTCTTCAATTTGAGGCAGCTATATCTATTTACTTAGGAGTAATTCATTCATGAGATCGAAAAAAATATGATGGTACATTAATGAAGACGCGAACAGAATTTTATCCGTGGACCGTGGTGCCTCCGTGGGACATTTGAACCGAGGGCGCGTCTAAGCTCTGACCTGTAGGGATGAAAAATAGACATAGATATTTGAATGATCCGACATTCATATCGTCTGCTAAACTTGTAATATGGATATATGTATTCATATGTTTTTCTAATGTGGATACCAAACGGTTGTTTCTATATTCATTTTTCAATATTTTTCTTTATCTGATTCTAGATCCGTATTCGACAAAAATATGGAATATCTGGCATTTACTTGTATCCGCGAAGAACAAGGTATAACGAATCTATTTAAAAGTTTTCTCCCATGACTAGTGACTAATTATTTAATTTCAATGTTACTAATGATGCATTGTAACTATTTAATAGTATATCTATAAGTAACTTTTAATATTATTAATGATACATAAAGATTAAATTAATTCTAGTATTTTTAATTTAGTTTAAACATGATATATTTGTTGTTATAAATTATTTTAATATTTTAATTTATTTATTTACTGATGTAAATTATTTTGTCTAATTTATAATTTCCTAATAAATATTATATAAGTATGATTGATTAATTGATATATTAAATTATTAAATATTTATTGATAACTATATTATTTTTGATGAGTTATCCTTGCCTACTCCGTATGTTATATATCCATGTACTTTAATATCTACTTGTGTAATAATTTTGTAATTACAAAAATATTGATAAAGAAAAATGGCTACTTGTTATCTACCATTCTTTTTTGAATATCTTCACTTGACCAATCATTTTATTTAATATTATCCATTACAATTTAGTTCAGTTCGATGATTTTTATTTGATTTGAATATCGATGAACTCTATACTGATATTAAAGGGGCAAAATCGACCCTCCAATTTTTCGTCCCACCCATCTCTGCCGAGTCCAAATACGCGTCGTTCCCTTCTACTGCCCAGTCCTTGCGCCCATCGCTAGTTCCGATTCCGCTTACGTTCTAGAACCGAACCAGATCAAAATTCTCTTTCCAACACAGGCATGACACACGATCAGTTGCTGACATGTGTGCCTGGGATAGTCGCACCCAGCCCTAAAAAGCAGCAGACCTGTGTATAGCCACGTCACGGGCTAACAGTCTGTTCGCTTGATGGTTGTTGTCAGGGTTTATCAGCCAGCTAATAGTGTTTTTTTCTCACAATAAACCAGCACCAGCCGAGCTTATCGATCCAGAAACCAATAAGCGAATAGGGCGTAAATCTATAGTGTCGTCTCGACAAGTTAGATCTCGTTGACGGCTTTGAGCGCCGTAAATCTATAGTGTCATCTTGACAAGTTAGATCTTGTTGATGGTCTTGAGCTTCCAAAACACAGGTCGCTTTTCTCTTACAGAAATGCTATATAACATACATGTGTTTTAGAAAAAAAAACATGAATTTTTTTTGTCCCTCTCTTTTCAACTGTCTCTCCGAGTCAACGAGCGAGTGCGCCCGGCTTGGCCAATCCACGTGCGGCTACCACCTGGCGTCGATGGGCCGGCCCAGCGAAACAACGGGCGCTAGCACCAAGGGAACTTGCTAGCCTAGCTGCTGCACAGACACACACCTTTTTTTTGTCGTTGCATAGAAAAAAATTATTTTTTGTGATCTGTGAATCTGTGATCTTGTGATTGTCTGGTGGTAAAAGAAAGCTGGAGGTAGAAAGAGGCTGTAGGCCGTTGGATCTTAATTCTATAGTGTAAAAAAATTTATATATTAAAATTACAAAAAACATATAGTTGTTGGATAGCAGACCCTTTCCCTTATCCTGTCAAGATGAAGCATCAAGGAGGCGAAGAATCCAAAATACTTCGGCCCAGAATGGGCACAGCCGTAGCTGCACGGGGAGAGAGTATAAGCAGAGGAGGAAGCGTTTGTGAATGGCAAGAAGAAAGCAAGAATAGGATAGGCCGGCTGTGTCCGGAGACTCAGAGACGGAGAGCGATCTGCTCGTCCTGCCTTGTATCTAGCTGTTTTCCAGTCGAACTCGTGACAATCACTCGTTACAGTTCGTTGTAAAGTACTTGATCCATCTAAATTCTGTTGAGTATCGTGACATTTGGTACCGGAGCAGTCGATTCTCGGCGGAATTTCGTTCTCCGGCGAGGTTGCCTCGTCGCCGGCGAACTAGTTGATCTGGCGGCACCACCCAACTACCTACTCCGACCCCAGTACCAAACCCGAGAGCAGAAGAGGCTGATGGCGATGGAGGAACAGATCGGCGACATCACGGCGTTCCTCAAGGGGATGCAAGCCCGGATCGATCGACAGCACGATTCGATGAAGCAGTCGTTGGAGGCGAACACGGCGGTGCTACACGATCTGTCCGCGTGGAAGCCCAAGGTCCAAGCCGACGTCGAGAAGCTGCAGACCGACGTCCGCGACCTCTGCACCAAAATCGAGCATCTCTCGTCGAAGCATGAAGAGATGACGAACCCTGCATACAAGGTGTTCGACGAGGAGCACCTCAACCTCACGGGTCACGCTGCCGCTCATTTGGCTGGCGGATCTGGAGGAACACCTACAGGGCCTTGTGCCCGCGGCGATGAACATGGTCACCGAGGTTTGGGCAACGGGGTGGTCACCACCTTCGTTCCTACCCCGGTCACAGGTGCGAAACACTCTGCTACTTCCTCACCAGTACAGTTTACAGTTGGCAGCCCTATGTTCACTGATGTTAATCAGTTCATGATCAATCATGCTTTACCCCTTGTGGAGTTTCCCGATTTTGATGGTAGTAACCCAAAGGTTTGGATCCAGAAGTGTGAGAACTATTTTGAGATGTACAATGTACCTGATCATCTTAAGTCTAGGGTCGCGTCCATGCGTTTCACTGGTAATGCTAATTTCTGGGCACAGTCTTTAGATTCACCTGTTCATAGTCTGGTGTGGTCTGACCTTTGCAAGTTAGTGTGTGAGAGGTTTGAGAAGGATCAGCATAGCATGTTACTTCGACAGTTCTTTCGTATCAAACAAACTGAGAGTGTGTCAGACTATATTGAGCGTTTTGATAGCATAGTTCATCAAGTCTTAGCTCATGATTCTAAATTCAGCACTGCAACTATTACCAATAGGTTTATTGATGGTCTGAGAGATGACATTAGAGCTGTTGTTCTTGTTCATAGACCTGGGAACCTAGATACTGCTAGTTCTATTGCTCTATTGCAGGAAGAATCAAGCAGGGATAGTCCCAAGAGAGATTATAAGAAGACAGAGTCTGATAACAACTTCAGATATGCTGGCAGGCCAAGGACAGTGACATATAACAACTCATTTCAGTCTCAAGCTAGAGGAGTTGATACATCATCCAGTCAAGGCAAAGGAAATACTAGCAGTACCAAGGGGTTTCAGTCTGAGGATAAAGCTGCTACTCTTATGGCTTACAGAAAAGCAAAAGGGTTGTGCTATAAATGTGGGATGAAATAGAACCCAGGCCACAAATGTTCCAATTCTGTGTCTCTGCATGTGGTAGAAGAGCTCTGGAATATGATACAGGGAGATGATTCTCAAATGGAAGATCAATGTGTTCCAGAGGGAGAAGATTCTGGCGATGACTTGATGGTGCTCTCTGCTAATGCAGCTCAAGGTACTGATTCCACCAGGACTGTCAGGATGGTGGGTCATGTTGGTGGAAAGGAGGTAATCATTCTTGTTGACTCTGGTAGCCCCCATACTTTTATCAGTGAAGCTTTGGCATCTAGGTGGAGAGATTGGTCTCCTATGCACACTACTATGCAAGTCAGAGTTGCCAATGGTCAAACTCTGCAGTGCAGTTATGAAGTTCAGGCTTGTCCAATCTGGATTAGTGGTCATGCTTTCAAAATGTCACTGAAAGTTTTACCCCTTCAATGTTATGATATCATACTTGGTATGGAATGGTTAAAGCAACATAGTCCAATGATAATTGACTGGAAAAAGAAGATTCTGTCATTTGAGTACCAGGGAACACAAGTTTTTCTTCAGGGGATAGTGCCTGATGTGGTGAGCTGTGAGCAGATCACTCATATAGAACTAGCAACTTTGCTGAATCAAGATAAAATTTGGTGTATGTTGGAGCTACACCAGGTTGACACCAGTAAAGGAATGTATACCAGGCCCAAAGAAATTCTGCAATTAATAGAAGAATTCTCCAGTCTTTTTCTTCCTCCCAGTGGATTGCCACCCAAGAGAGCATCTGTACACACTATACCTTTGGTGGTGGGAGCTCAACCATTTCAACTGAGGCCTTATAGGTATAATGCTGTTCAAAAGGATGAAATAGAGAGACAAGTGCATCAACTCCTGACAAATGGTTGGATACAAGAAAGCCAAAGCCCTTATGCATCTCCTGTGCTGTTAGTCAAAAAGAAAACTGGTGATTGGAGGCTATGCGTTGATTACAGGAAACTCAATGCCTTAACCATCAAAAACAAATTCCCATTGCCAGTCATTGATGAATTACTGGATGAATTAGTAGGAGCTCAGTGGTTCTCTACCCTTGATTTATCCTCTGGATTTCATTAGATTCTGGTGTCAGAAGAAGATGTCCATAAAACTGCATTTCAAACTCACAGTGGCCACTATGAGTATAAGGTTATGCCATATGGTGTTACTGGTGGTCCTGTAACTTTTCAGCATGAGATGAATACTGTCCTGGCTCCTCTACTTCGAAAATGTGTTGTAGTTTTCATTGATGATGTACTCATTTACAGCAAAACTTGGTCTGAGCATCTCCAACACATCAGACAAGTTTTCACTCTTCTTCATCAGCACCAGCTTAAAGTTAAGCTCTCTAAGTGTGCTTTTGCAAAGAAAGAACTGTCATACCTTGGTCATGTCATTAGTGCTTCAGGAGTGGCAACAGATCCTACCAAGGTGGATATTATCAAGAATTGGCCAACACCAACTAATGTTAAAGATGTCAGGAGCTTTCTGGGTATGGCTGGTTACTACAGAAAATTTGTTCAAGGTTTTGGTACTTTGTGCAAACCACTCACAAATCTTCTGAAGAAGGGATCTATATTTGTATGGACATCTGAACAAGATCAGTCTTTTTCTGCACTCAAAACAGCTCTGATATCAGCACCTGTCTTAGCACTACCTGACCTCTACAAACCTTTTGTGGTGGAAACAGATGCCTCTGATAAAGGTATAGGTGCTGTGCTACAACAAGACAATCACCCAATAGCTTATGTCAGTAAAGCTCTGGGTCCACGCAATCAAGCATTATCCACTTATGAAAAAGAATGCCTAGCTATTCTTCTAGCTGTGGAGCATTGGAGAGCCTATCTTCAACACAGTGAATTCACTATCAAAACTGATCAAAGGAGTTTGGTACATTTGGATGACCAAAGACTCACAACACCCTGGCAACACAAGGCCCTCACCAAGTTGATGGGGTTGAAGTATAAAATTCTCTACAAAAAAGGTGCTGAAAATAGAGTAGCAGATGCTCTTTCCAGGGTTTCTAATAATCCAAGTCAAGAAGTGTTAGCTCTGTCTACACTTCAACCTGTCTAGCTTCAGGAGGTAGTAGATGCTTATCCCACTGATCCCCATGCAGCAAAGCTTCTCTCAACACTGGCAGTCAGTACACCATTTGGTCATTTCACCTTGCAAGATGGTGTCATCAAATATAAAGGGAAGATATGGGTTGGTAACAAGCCTATCCAACACCAGATTATGCAGTCTCTCCATGCCAGTCCTCTTAGAGGACATTCTGGGTTTCCAGTCACTTACAAAAGGATCAGAAATCTCTTTGTGTGGCCTGGTATGAAAGGGATGATTCATCTTTTTGTTACTCACTGTACAGTCTGTCAACAAGCTAAGCCTGAAAGGGTCAAATATCCAGGCCTTCTGCAGCCACTACCTGTTCCTGACTATGCCTGGCAGGTTGTCAGCCTGGATTTCATAGAAGGTTTGCCTAAATCCAATCATTTTGACTGCATCTTGGTGGTAGTAGACAAATTTTCAAAGTATGCTCATTTCATTCCATTAAAACACCCTTTCACTGCTCTTCAAGTGGCTTTAGCATACATGGATAATGTTTTCAAACTGCGTGGTTTCCCTGAAGCACTCATATCGACAAAGTGTTTACCAGCCAAGTTTGGTAGCAATTGTTCAAATTAACCAAAACTGAGTTAAAGATGAGCACCTCTTACCACCCCAAACTGATGGGCAAATAGAAAGGGTTAATCAGTGTCTAGAGGCATATTTGAGATGTTTTGTTCATGCTTATCCAACTCAGTGGAAACAATGGCTAGCACTGGCTGAATTTTGGTATAACAGTAGCTATCACACATCTCTCAATTCAACTCCTTTTGAAATCCTTTATGGTCAACAACCTAGACACCTTGGTATTGATATCACTGAATCCTGTGCCATTCCTGATCTGCAAGTCTGGCTCAAAGAGAGACATATTATGGTGCAACTGTTACAACAGCAACTCCTCAGAGCTCAGCAACGCCAGAAAATGCAAGCTGACAAACATAGGACTGAGAGATCATTTGAAGTGGGTGATTCAGTCTATTTGAAACTTCAACCCTATTTGCAAACCTCTGTTGCTACCAGAGCTAGTCACAAGCTATCGTTTCGCTATTTTGGCCCTTACCAGATCATAGCAAAAGTGGGCACTGTTGCTTATAAGCTGTTGCTTCCAGACTACTCTGCAGTTCACCCTGTATTCCATGTCTCTCAGCTCAAGAAGGCTTTACCACCTGCAACCCAGGTTTCTTCTGAAATCCCTATCTCAACTGAAACTGATGCTTTTCGTTTCCCTGTCGAAGTGCTCCAGCGACGTCTGAAACAACAAGGAGATCGTCTGGCTGCTGAAGTTCTCATTCAGTGGTCCAATTGGCCACCATCTATGGCTACTTGGGAGCTGGAAGATGAACTGAAGCAACAATTTCCAGCAGCACCGGCTTGGGGACAAGCCGGTTTTCAAGGGGGGAGGAATGTCAAAGATGAAGCATCAAGGAGGCGCCAAAGGGAACAAAGGGGCAGGAGCTGTTGGCGCGCCTGATGAAGAGAAGCCCCAAGAGGAGAATGGGCCATGCGCCCCAAGGCCCAAGCGAGTACCCAAGCCGAATCCAAAATACTTCGGCCCAGAATGGGCACAGCCATAGCTGCACGGGGAGACAGAGTATAAGCAGAGGAGGAAGCGTTCGTGAAGGGCAAGTAAGAAGAAAGCAAGGATAGGATAGGCCGGCTGCGTCCGGAGACTCCGAGGCGGAGAGCGATATGCTCGTCCTGCCTTGTATCTAGCTGTTTTTCAGTCGAACTCGTGACAATCACTCGTTACAGTTCGTTCTAAAGTACTTGATCCATCTAAATTCTGTTGAGTATCGTGACATATCCCTCTGCACCTCTATCCTCGACTACATAGGCTTGACAGGAAAAAAAACGTCAATGGAGAGGTTGAATAAGCGCAAGCCAGGAAGGTTGGAATGTAACAGGTAGAGGCCGTAGCCCTCCGGTCGGCTACATTATTATGCCATTTCCATCGATGTGGGTGGAAGAGGAAACACGGGTCTAAGACGCCACAACCCTGGAGACGACGGTGATTGTGCTCCATCAAAAGTATACGTCGTGGAACCAGAGCGATGTAAAGTACTATCCACACCTGATGAGTTCTACTAGATCATGGTCCAAGGATGCCCAGTCCATAGGCCTTTTTCCGTTATCACAGCACATCCGGCGATAAAGCTTGTTGCAATCGACCAATCCGATATTAAAGAAACCCCTTCTCGTCGTCCAGAAACTATGGACACCACCAGGAGACAGGAGCCAGTGGCGGGCTGGACACCAGGGCCAGGCCCTAGTCTTAGCTCTTAATTATAGTAAACAAATTATCATTTTTCTATAGCCAAGCATAATTAGTACTGATGTCTAATATAATAGCCTAGTCTTTGGCGGGTCCGCCCTGACAGGAGCCGACGACACCACGGACGCAAGCAGCGCTACGCACGCTCCGTATTCTGTATTCGAGATGGTGATGTCATGCCAACATCAACATATGATGTCACCCATAAGATTTTCTCTACGAAAAACAAATAAAAATAAATAGAAAATATAAACATAAATATCGGAGCTTTTCTATAGGAATTTATAGCATACAAGAATGAAAAAAATGATAGTAAAATTGGTGTTGATTTTGGTCACGGTGCACTACTACAGAAGTACTTTGTAGCAACAGCTCCTTTTTTTTTAGGGTGGCTCAACCCTACGGTGCCTCCGTCGGGGTCCCATGAGGCCAGCCGCCTCTACAAATAGCACAGTAAGAGTGGCTAGTGATACGAGCCGCCCCTACAAATGGCTCGATTTGTTGGGGGCGACTTAATCACCAACTGTCCCTACAAATATTTTTGCATTTTTCAAATGTTAGTTTTGTATATTTTTGTTTAAATGTATATATAAATATATAAATGTATTAAAAACAATTCGCTATATTTGCCCATACACATAAAAAACAACTTGCAGATATATATAATGATACATTTTCTTTTTTAAAACATAAAAAAATTATATTTAAAAATTGAAAATTTGAATTTGTGAACTTCGAATTAAATTTTAAGTCAGAAAATGACCTAAAATGAAAATGTTGTAAACATAAAAGTTGTAAAACCCATCAAGATTTACAACTTTCATTTTGGTTGTCCGTGACTTAGTTTGAAAAGTTCAAATTTTGAATTTCATAAAATGGCAAGCTCAAACAATATTTTCAAAGAGTAAATGATTTCAGCTGGAAAAGTCATGAATATAAAAGTTATATAACTCATCAAGATCTAAAACTTTAATTTTGGTCATTTTTTCATCCAACAAAGTGAAAAAAACATTGTTCACAAATTTTACATTTCTCATATGGTTTCATAAACAATGAGAGAGATATAAGTTTTGTGAACAATGTTGCTATCACTTTGTCGGATGAAGAAATGACCAAAATAAAAGTTATAGGTCTTGATGAGTTTTACAACTTTGGTATTCATCACTTTTTTAGCTGAAATCATTTGGTGTTTCAAAATATAGTTTGAACTTATCATTTTTTAAAATTCAAAATTTAAATTGCTCAAACTTTGTCACACGAAATGATAAAATCAACACAATACCTTGATAGAGTATGATTTTAGAAAATTTTAGTAAAAAAATCATCACATTTGAATTTAATATTAGGGAGAAAGACTAGTTACAAGTTGTAACTAGTTACAAGTTGTAACTAGTCTTTTCGAAATCATCAAGATATTGTGTTGATTTTGTCAATCTTTTCATGTGACAAAGTTTGAGCAATTCAAATTTTGAATTTTAAAAGATGACAAGTTCAAACCATATTTTGAAACACCAAATGATTTCAGCTGAAAAAGTGATGAATACCAAAGTTGTAAAACTCATCAAGACCCACAACTTTTATTTTAATCATTTCTTCATCCGACAAAGTGATAGTAAACATTGTTCCTAATTCATAAATCTCTCATAGTGTTTATGAAACTATACGAGAGAAATGTTGATTTGTGAACAATATGTACTAACACTTTATTGGATGAATAAATGACCAAAATAAAAGTTGTAGATCTTGATGAGTTATACAACTTTGGTATTCATCACTTTTTCAGAAGAAATCATTTGGTGTTTCCAAATCTGGTATGAACTTGTCATTTTTTAAAATTCAAAATTTAAATTGCTCAAACTTTGTCACACGAAAAGCTGACCAAAATAAAATTTGTAGATTTTGATGAGTTCTACAACTTTGGTATTCATGACATTTTCACCTGAAATCATTTGATATTTCAAAATGTGGTTTGAAGTTGTAATTTTTTAAAATTCAAAATTGGAATTGTCAAAACTTAGTCACATGAATAGATGACCAAAATAAAAGTTCTACATCTTGATAAGTTATACAACTTTCATATTTATAAAATTTTTATTTGAGGTCATTTAGTGTCCTAAAATTTTATCGAAAATTTTGAAATTCAATTTTTCAAAATTTTAAATATATTTTTAAAGAAGAAAAATAGAATTATATACATACATATCAGCAATTTGTTTTAATATATATGTATTTTTTTACATATATAGAGTAATCCAAATAATTTTATTTATATAATACATATATAATAATTTATATATATAGAAAAAAATTTGTAGGAGCAGCTTAATTAGGAACCACCCCTACAAATTTATAGGGCGGTGATGTTTTAAGTCGCCCCTACAAATCGTCCTGGGTATATAAGGACTAGCGCTCGGGGACCGAAATCGACTAAGTCTTGGACGCTCTCTTCTTCCTCCCGACGCCGTTAGGCTGTCCGATTTTCCCCGGGCCCCACCACCGCCGCCGCCGCCGTCGCCTCCCGGCCCTCTCCCCCTCTCCGCACCCTGAGTCGCACCTCGACACCACCGGGCCACCACATCTCCACGGCGCGCGGCTAGGGTTTCAGATCGAGCCCTGGTCGGCTGACCCACCACGCCCCGCCATGCCGATGCCGCTGCCTCCCGGCTGTCTCCTGGTCTCCGCACCCTCGAGCCGTAGCTCGACACCTCCAGTCCGCCATGATGTCGCCACATCTCCACGACAGCTGGGGTTTCAGATCGAGCCCCTAGCGACCTTGACGACCAATGTCGTGCCTCCCCGCCTGTCCCCGACCTCGATCGACATTAGCACTACCTCCCCCAGCGTCTCTGGTGTCCGCGCACGCTACACCGATCGGGCCTGCACTGGTGGCTGTGTCCTCCTACGTCCGCGCCTCCTCCCCTAGCGACCTGCCCTTGTGTGCTCCAGCGTTGGCGCCGCCTGCCCCATCGGGCTTGCCCCGGTGGCCGTTCATCCAGCGTGCGCACGCTCCACCGCCCCGTGCCCACCACCCCTTTCTTTGGCTAGATCTTCTGCAGGTATCCCCTACCCCTTCTCCTCCATTCCTGCTCCACTGAGTTCATGCAGTGCTTGCATTTGGTGAATGTGTGTGTTGGTAGCCTTGTGAAATGGAGCTGATAGCCATTGGATGCTTGGAATGATTTTTATTGGGCACCATGTGTGTGCTGTTAAAGAACATGAATTTTTCTTAAGCTCAAACTAGTAGCATGATATGCCCATTGTTTTTAGACATGCTCACTGTGATTATACATGGTCACTATTTTTATAC